GTCTACTAAAAATACAAAAAAGTAGCTAGGCGTGGTGGCAGGTGCCTGTAATCGCAGCTACTCGGGAGACTAAGGCAGGAGAATCCGGGAGATGGAGGTTGTGGTGAGCCGAGATCGCACCATCGCACTCCAGCCCGGGCAATAAGAGCGAAATTCCGTCTCAAAAAAAAAAAAAAAAAAATGAGCTGGGTGTGGTGGCACATGCCTGCAGTCCCAGCTTCTGGGAGGCTGAGTGGGGAGGATTGCTTGAGCCCAGAAGTTCTAGGCTACAGTGAGCCATGATTGTGCCACTGCACTCCAGCCTGGGGAAGAGAGTGAGACCCTGTCTAAATAAATGAATAAATAAATAAATTAATTAAATTAAATAAGATAAAAGGAAAAGAAATGTCCTCCCAAAGTGCTGGGATTACTGGCATGAGCCACCGACTGCTCCTGGCAGAAATGTTGAATTATTCCATTTCATAACTTCATCCAACAAGAGGAAGATAGTCAAGGAGAGTGTCATGGTGGAAGATGATTGAGTTAAGACAGATGAAGAGAAGTCCCTTCTAGTAAAGGAGAATGCCTAGGCAAAGGCGCAGAGGTGAGCTGGAAATAATTCCAGGTAACTGAGGCAGAGGTGGAAACGTGGGCAATAACAAGAAAAGGGGTTTCTGAATTCCCAGAATACTTAGAACCTGAAATAGAAATTTATTAGGGCCTGTTAATGTTAGGACCTCCTTAGACCAGGCTGAGGGGCCCCATAGGATTTTATTCTTGGAGAAGTGGGGTGGGTCTCTGCCACTTTCTTTTTTTTTCTTTTGTTTTTTTTTTTTTGAGATGGAGTCTCGCTCTGTTGCCCAGGCTGGAGTGCAGTGGCAAGATCTCGCTCACTGCAAGCTCTGCTTCCCAGGTTCACACCATTCTCCTGCGTCAGCCTCCTGAGTAGCTGGCACTATAGACACCCACCACTGCGCCCGGCTAATTTTTTTTGTATTTTTAGTAGAGATGGGGTTTCACTGTGTTAGCCAGGATGGTCTCAATCTCCTGATCTTGTGATCTACCCGTCTCGGCTTCCCAAAGTGCTGGGATTACAGGTGTGAGCCACCGCACCTGGCCAGGTCTCTGCCACTTTCTAGCTGTGTGACTTTGGCCCAGTGTTGTATCTTTATTTCAGTTATAGAGTATACAATTCCTTATTCACAACAATGAGCTGTAATTTTCTTTTCTTTTCTTTTCTTTTCTGAGACGGAGTCTTACTCTGTCGCCCAGGCTGGAGTGCAGTGATGTAATCTTGGCTCACTGCAACCTCCACTTCCCTGATTCAAGCAATTCTCCTGCCTCAGCCTCCTGAGGAGCTGGGACTACAGGCTCGTGCCACCATGCACAGCTAGTTTTTGTATTTTTAGTAGAGACAGGGTTTCACCATATTGGCCAGGATGGTCTCGATCTCTTGACCTCATGATCTGCCCGCCTTGGCCTCCCAAAGTCCTGGGATTACAGGCGTGAGCCACTGTGTCCATCCTTTTTTTTTTTTTTTAAAGAACATGATCTTGCTCTGTCACCCAGCCCCTTCCGAGGTGGCTGCTGGCTGTTGGCGGGAGGCCTCAGTTCCTCACCACATGGGCCTCTCCATGGAGCTGCTTGAGCTTCCTCCCATCATGGCGGATGGCTTTCCCCAGGTGAGTGAGCCCAGAGAAAGAGCAAAGAGGAAGCATCAGTGAATTTTATGTCCTAGTTTCAGAAGTCCCACATTGTTGCTTCTGCCTTATTCTATTGTTAAAAATGAGTCACAAAGTCTAGCTGACAATCAAAGAGAGAAGAAATAGACTTTGCCTTTCTTTTTTATCTTTTTTCTTCCTTTTTTATTTTTTATTTGTTAAGATAAGATCTCACTCTGTCACCCAGGCTGTAGTGCAGTGGCAGGATCACAGCTCCCTGCAACATTAACCTCCTAGGCTCAAGTGATCCTCCCACCGCCCACTCCCTAGTAGCTGGGGCTGCAGGTGTGCACCACCACACCGGCGTAATATTTTGTATTTTTTGTAGAGAAGAGGTCTCACCGTGTTGCCGATTATGGCCTCAAACTCATGAGTTTGGCTGGGCATGGTCAATCACACCTGTAATCCCAGCACTTTGGGAGGCCAAGGCAGGCAGATCACTTGAGGTCAGGAGTTGGAGACCAGCCTGGCCAACATGGTGAAATCCTATCTCTACTAAAAATACAAAAATTAGCTGGGTGTGGTGGTGAACACCTGTAATCCCACCTACCTGGGGGGCTGAGGCAGGAGACTTGCTTGAAACTGGGAGGTGGAGGTTGTGGTGAGCCAAGATCATAGGCACCACTGAACTCTAGCCTGGGAAACAGAGCAAGACTCTGTCTCAAAAACAACAACAACAACAACAACTCATGAGCTTAAGCAATCTGCCTGCCTCAGCCTCCCAAAGTGCTGGGATTATAGGCATGAGTCACTGATTCCAGCCTGTCGTTTTCCATATAAAATATTAAGAAATGATGAAAAGGCCGGGCGCGGTGGCTCAAGCCTGTAATCCCAGCACTTTGGGAGGCCGAGACGGGCGGATCACGAGGTCAGGAGATC